ATCATTCAATAAACATTTTTAAAATAATTTAATTTAATCACAAAATTTGTTCAGTTGCAAAAATGAATATTAATTTAAAATACGGTTGTTATGGGTAAGATTTCAAATGGTAGTCAACACTGGCCCGCCATCGCATGTTTATATGTCTGTCTTTATCTAATCCTGGCGACGGTATTGTTCTTGCGACGTGTGTAAGTATGTCTACTTTTAAATGATTTGAAAGCTACGTCGTCACAGTTCAATACTAAAGTCGTCACAAAATAAGAAACCCGTTTTGACGTTTCTCATTTGACATGCCGCGATAACTTTGTATGAACGTCTATGTAGGAAATTGAAAAATCAAATTTATAATCCTATTTAATTACTATGTTACCCATACACTATCACAACGCGTATCATAAATAAGCATCAAGTTTAACTTTATATTGAAAAAATGCACTCAAAAACACGAATTAATCGTTGATTAATATTCCGACAGGACTTTACTACAATGTCATGTCTTTGGGTTGGTTGCCGTAGTGTTGTAACCGTTAAAAAGCCGTTATATGGCCGAATAAAATAGAGTTTCTTAAAACGTTTACAAAAATTACAATAAAAAAAAGAGATAAATGTATAATTAGTGTATTATTTAATATTTAAAGATATAAAAACAAAAACTGATCACATATAGTTTTAGCTTTATTTTGATATTTAATATGAATATTTTGATATTATACTAAATGATTTAGTTAAAAAACCCGGAGTGGACGCCGGGTTTTTTAACCAAATCATTTCATCATGATATTTCATATTGAAAAAAATAATTCATCCTCATTTTTCTGTCTCAAACGTCATGTCTCATTTTGCAACAGTCGCATTTGACAACAGTCCTTAAAAGTCAGTCTATAAAAGAATTATCAAAGCCGTAGATAATTTGTTTCCTTTCTCTATGTACCTATAGAATGGTTTGTCTATGACCAAGCGGCACGTGATCCATGCGCGTACCGCGTACTGCGCAGTCTTTCGTTCGACATCTTGTGAAGTTGACTGTGCGCTCGTTTATGTTTGATATTTTTTCTAGACTCGGCTTTGCTTTTGGACTGTTTTTGTTAACTATCACGTTGACCTTGGCTCTTCTATTCCGGACATTGATTAGACATAGCGATTCGGACTTGATTTTGGTGTTTGTTGTTATATTGTACAAACTCTGTTTCAACATGTCGAAAAGAGTACGTACAATCAACAGCCAATCACGCGAATCAGTTAATGGTGGACCATTATTACCCGTAACTCAAGTGTCGAGCAATCGGCAGAATCGGCAAAAAAACTATTCGAACCATTTTGAAGGAAAAGTATGGGTCTTCCGGTACTGAAGAAAATGTGTTACATACGTAACACATATGTAACAGGCATTGACACATTTGGCGCAGATGCTATTCGAAACCACGTATTTGGTTATTACACGAGAAGTGAGTACCCAACTGTAAGTAAGTTGGTGGCATCACTAAGAGAGGCTGGCCTGTTTAGTGGCAGTGCAACATCTTTAATAACAATTATGATGCAAATTGGTTTCAAATACAAGAAAACCCACAAGAGGAAAATTATGATGGAACGATATGATATAATTTTGCACAGAGTATCCTTCTTGAGGCAAATGAACAAAATTACAAATTGGGATAATGTCATATTTATCATGGCTGAACTCGAATCATACCGTGCCACAGTCATGAACGGATTATACCAAGGCATCTTGTTCAAAAGTGCCAATGGGTAAGGGTGGACGCCTAATAATCTGCTATGCCGGATCAGCCAGGGGAGGTTTTGTGCATGATGCTCTGCTCGCATTCGAGTCCAGTACAAAAGAATACCACGAAGAAACGGATGCAAATAAATTCTTAGAGTGGTTTACTAAGTTGTTAATAAACCTCCCCGAACAGTGCACAATAATTATGGATAATGCACCTTATCATTCAGTTCAAATAGATAAGGCACCTACTCAAGCAAGCAAAAAGGCAGATTTAATGGCGTGGTTACAAAGAATAGGCGTAGAAGCCGACATGAATTTATTGAAAGCTGAAGTGCTGGAATTAGTAAAACAAAATAAACCTGCAAAATTAAGATATAAAATCGATGAATTGGCACTTCAACATGGTCACAAATTGATAAGAACGCCGCCGTACCATCGTCAGTACAATGCTATTGAATTAATCTGGGTTCAGGTCAAAGGATACGCAGCACGTCATAATACAAAGCCACCATTCTCCACTAAGAATATTGTGACATTGTTAAAAGAAGCTTGTGATAAAATAACTAAAGAAGATTGGGCAAAAGTGGTAAAAAAGACGCGAAAAATAATAAAGGAATATTATGATAGAGACGTCAATATTGATAATATTATAGAAAATTAAATAATTATAAATACAGGCGACGATAGCTTATCTGGCTCGTCATCAGAAGAAAATGATTGATTTCACTTTTCTTGATTTTGTTGTGATTGAGCTAAATTTTTAAATTAAAGACAAATTGACATTTCTTTCCATTGTATCATTTCAAATTGCCTATAACATTAAAGTTTAAGTTATATGTTCTAATTATAACTTAAATCCAATGCACTTTGTGATATATAGTCAAATCAATCAAATACTCTACAAGCTTGAATCGATTTATCGTAAGTATCGTGCACCGAGTCGTATGGTTAATCACTAGTTACGCCACCGTGACAAATGTCAAAACGGGCTTCTTATTTTGTGACGACTGTAGTTACACTTTTTTTGACGTGTGGTAATGAGGTTTGCTTCTCTAGTTGTTTAACTCTATGATAACAAAACAAACTGCCAACAAATACATAAAAAAACATAATCCCTCTGTCAGACGTGACGCGTCAGAGGCAATAGGCTAGTTGACTCACTTTAAAAACTTTGTTAATAATATACTTTAATATCTATTTTATCCCAAAAAAACCTATATTTAAAAGAAAAAGCAATAATTATATTACGTATTTTGTATTTAAAAAAAAAACAATTTAAATTTCCCTTGAAAACGCTGAATAGTGTCATGGCGTCTTGAATGACGTCCAATCTGCGAAACAAAATGTTTAAATATGCTAAAAATGAAAAACAATAAGAGTAACCTGCTCTGTTGTATGAAAACGTCAACAACAACAATGATGTTTTGCATGGCGTGACATAACACTTTCTGATTGGTGTTCGCTGTCACGTGACTTAATGCCTATTTTGTTCCAATTTATTTTAAAAATTTTTAAAAACCTTATCTTTTATGAGAAATAGGCTGGTTTTTTCTTATCTATGTCTCTTCATTAGTAATTTGAAACTATAAACCAAACAATTTGTTATTAGTGGACACAAGGATATTGTCAAACTTACCTTTAAGGTTTGTTGGGCATCGGTGGCAAAAGATTTGTTCCTATTCGGCCTAAAAATATGCCAACGTAGAAACGATGTTGTTTGAAAATTGGATTCATTTAAAATGTATAAATTATAATATTAATTTTAAGGAAGTCTGTCCAAAAATATATGGATCATTGGTATTTTTCAAGAATAAAAAGCCATTTTTGGACAACTCCTTTGCTTCTTTACATCTACTTGCACACACCAGTGACTGTATATCCATAATCTATTGGCTTAAGTATTTAACTCAGAATAAACAAAATATGCGATCTTACGTAAAAAATCTAGATGCAGACATATTTTCTGTCAGTTTACCCAAATTAATGCAAAATGTAATGATCGTTTTAAATACTCATAAATAACTGTTACCTGTAGAGGACGTAGAACATGTTTTGATGGAATGTGTTCGGAACCAACCACTTAGAGAACACCTGCTTAATGATAAGTTGATGGACATTGGAAGATGTAACATTACAGCATTCTGGCCAGTCCTTTTCCAGATACAGCTAAGGATATTTATATATATATAATGTACTCTGTATAGCTGTTAATATTTATTGACATCTTGCTAATTTTATGACATCTTATTGGTTTAATTCTTTATTTCATGCATTGTCAATTTTATTGCATTGACTTTAGTGGCTATTTCTGTATGATTGTATGAATTATTAATTATTTGTGAATAAATAAATAATTTAATGTATTGTTTTGTATAATGATCTGTGGTCTGTATATCTGGGCCTCAATTCTGCTATTACGCCAAGCCAGTGTCATACCACTGACACGCTATTGAGATGCCATCGAGTAGCCATTGGCATCGGTATAAATATCGGTAGTTGAAAATATATTACGTTTTTTGAGGAAATGATTTATTTATTTTTATTATAATAAATTATTAAAAGAAATAAAAAAATTAAAATAACAAAAAAAAATAAAAAATAAAAAAAAAAAGTGGCGCAACTCAATTTACTCCGAGATCGACTGCTGGACGTGCCCAGAAAAGAAATGCGTTAGTCGGAAACAAAGAGTCCCGTGCTGCCACCCTGCCCACTAGGCGATGATCGGGTGGACCGTCTCCATAGTGCCAAAGCCAGTACTTGGAGTCTCCAGCCGGGATGGCCAATGAGTCATCGTGGCTCGGCAAGCAGCCTTTACCCATTCATTTCCGCTTTTAAATCTCATGGGAGAGATCCGCCATCACTCTCTGAGGGTTCGCACCCTCAGAGACACGCCCCACACCGTTACACCGTATAGTGCCATGGACTGGACAACCCTGGTACCTTACTAGAACTTATAGTGTTATCTCAACTACAGCTGTTAGTGGTATTCCGGTGGTTTTAGATGTTGAATCTGGTGGAGAGTTCCTTTAACTGTTGGCAACACTGGTCTCGGACAGAGACCAGCGGAGTATATGTATACTATTAAATATACTCTGTGATATGTATTCTGTGGAGGACAGACAACTGACCGAGTTTGCGCACGCTGTCGGATTACCTACACTGATTGACAACCTCTATTGTTGACAATAATAAACCACGTGGGAGATCGTTCCTTAATTTATTAAATTATTTATTCTATACAGCGAAAATAACTATTTAAAAAATAAACCATACCATGTCAGATGGGCAATTCAGTGATTACGAAGAGGATTTAACCGTCAAGGTTAAGTCGGTGCGGGTAAGTTACACCACCACTCGAGAGCAAGTCCACCAAAAAATTAATATTTTTGCCAAGATTAGATAAAACAATGTAACAATTTTATTTCAGTTTTCAGATGTCCCACAAATTAAAAACCTCAGCAGTGAAAGTGAAGATGACGACGACTTTGATTCGGACGAATATTTTCACGATTCTGACGATCCCAGTCTGAACAAGAAAAAAACCAATGTTAACGCTCAAGCACCTTCGACTAAAATTACTTCATATCAACCAAGCCAAAAACTATTCAAGAAATTTGAAAACAAGATATATGTAGGCAAATATGAACCCATGTCTAAAAGTACTGAGAAATTTATGAACCAAAATGACAGAAAAATTGATAGTGAGAAGAATCGGACTCGGGACAAACATGACCGTGCCACAGCTGAACAGGTTATAGATCCAGTCACTCAAAGGATCTTGTTTAAATTGTTGAACAGAGGCATTATACATCAACTTAATGGTTGCATTTCTACAGGTAAAGAAGCCAATGTTTACCATGGTACTTCTAAAGATCGTAAACACTATGCCTTAAAAATTTTCAAAACATCTATTTTAGTCTTCAGAGATAGAGATAAGTATGTATCAGGAGAGTATCGATTCAGGAACGGTTATAGCAAAGCAAATCCTCGTAAAATGGTTTGCACTTGGGCTGAGAAAGAAATGAGAAACCTTGTAAGGATGTATAATGCCAACCTAAGAGTACCTCAACCAATCATTTTACGCAGCCATGTGTTGGTAATGTCCTTTATGGGTGAAGATGGTTGGCCGTCACCAAAACTGAAAGATGTTGAAATATCAGAAACAGTTGCTCGCTCTTTATATAGAGATTGTATAATAATGATGTGGAAAATGTTTAATATTTGTAAACTAGTCCATGCTGACTTGTCTGAGTTTAATATGCTGTATCACGAGGGAAATATTGTAATCATTGATGTATCACAGTCTGTAGAACATGATCATCCACATGCTTTTGAATTCTTACGTAAAGATTGTACAAACATATCAGATTTCTTTAGAAGAAAACATGTGGGAACATTGACGGTTAAAGAATTGTTTGACTTTATAACAGATTCCACAATTAATGAACAAAACTTTGAGGATTGTCTTGAAAAATTGTCTGAGAAGGCTGCATCAAGGAACTTTGATGAAATGACAGCACAAGAAAAGATTGAAGAAGAGACTTTCAAGACTGTGTACATACCAAAAAGGCTCAATGAGGTAATTTCCTAAGCTTCTGCAGTGTGTGTGTTTTTTGACTTTTATAGCTGTTACAAGTAATGGTGTATGATGGTAATAATTAGGCATGGTGGCAATTGCTAATCATCGGGCAAGCCACATGACTTGCTACTTTTAACCTAACCAACATGTGTTGTTGACTTTACACACACCTATTCAAAATAGATCATGGGACAAAATGTGATTATTTAAGACCTATGAGTATAATAAATTGTAATTAATAAGTGATAAAACTCATTGTAAACTATTACTATATTATATTTGACCAACTATCAACTTCCTAATAGTTAAATCTCCATTTAATCTTTTTACACATGCCATGAATATTACAAACAAAAGTTTGTGAAAATGGAGGATTGGTGCAAACCTCAATGAAATTTGGCACAGAGATAGATTATTGAGCACATAGGTAATTAAAAAAGAAGACTTACAAAAATCATTGATAAATGATAACAGCTAGTAAATGTGTTGTATTTGTGGGTAATTTACAGGTTATTAATTATGAACAAGACATCACTAAAGCCAAGAAAGGTGAAACAGAAGACCTTACATACAAAAAGATAGCTGGTTTCAATGAAGATCTGACAGGAACAGCTGTTAAACCAGAGATACTAAAGGATGTGGAGATTTCAGAGTCTGGTTCAGAAAGCAGTTCAGAAGAGGAAGGTGATGAGGAGAGTGAGTATTTTTGCTAATATTAACTTTTAAATATTTTCATTTTTAAAACTAATGATATGAAAAAAAAAAAGATCTTATGTGCTTGCCCATTAAGTGCTTATTAATTTTCTTGGCATGAGGTCACATCAATTGTGATTGAATTTAAGTGTAAGACTTTTACGATAAACACTACATCAAACAAGTTATGGTTCTATCTGTTCATTTGTGGAATACATCATAGGTAAAAATTTACAAGTTGAAATCATTAGCCCTTGGACGAGATGAAACCACCATTCAAAGTAATATTCTGACGATCTCACTCTCATGGTTTCCCGCGATTGCGAGGTCGCTCCTAGAGTGCCATGCATCAGTGAGATTCCTGGAGGCTTATTGGTATTGGCTGTGGGCTTCGGTTTCCGCATATAGACTCAAGAGTGGTCCTCTATGCATCGAAGACTGGCTAGCTAGGTGAGCCAACCAAGCTCCTTTTAGAAGTGCAGAAGCCTCCTGGGGCGTTCACAGGCTTCTAGAAGCCTTCTGGAGGCCTAACATCTGCTACTAATACAGTGCGTGTTGCACTCAAAATGCACACTGGTGCAGTGGTAGCGAATGTGACTACTGTGGTATGGTCTTGGGTTCGATTCCTGGGTTCGACCAAATGTTTGTATGATCTGCAAATATTTGTTTCGGAGTTTGGGTGTTTTCAATGTATAATGTGTGTGTTAACAAAAAAAAAAAATATTCTATCAGTTAATTTAGTTTTCATAGTACAAGCTCTGCTTAGTTTGAAACTACACCGCGATGTGCGTCATAGGTCCAAAAAATATTATTATTATAAACGCCCAGGAGGTTTTCTACTTCTGGAAGCAGTTCTCAACTAAGAATACAGTCTATAGGTCTGAATGTGGAAATTTGGTTTTGGTTGAAATTTGGTAGAAGGGCCCTGCCTTCTACCAAATTTCAAGTCCTTAAGTAGTTTAGCAATAAATAGGTTTCTTGATTCCTACTGTCCTATTTAATTTAAAGGTTTTATTAATTTTAATTTTGCAATGTGAATTAATTAAGAGAGGATTGCGTCCAGCAGTGGACAGCCTTTAATAGTCCACACACTACGAATTTGTGAAAAGCCCTAATATTAACTAATTAATTTAACAGTGCACTTTGATAAGAAAATATTCTATTCTTTCTTAGACTACATAATAGAACCATTGCCTGTCAGTATAGTTACATAATAGAACACTGTCTGAACAGTGATATGGCTTGGTTTGAAAAAATACTAAATTTCTCTGTGTCCTTGTTACAGAATCAAAATTTAAGAGCTGTGCACGACCTAGAGACGAGTCACCTAACAGCAAAAAGGCTAGGAAAAAGGCAATTAAAGAAGAAAAGGCAGAAAAAAGGAAAACGAAGACAAAGAAACATGTAAAAAAGCGACGAGACAAATTATCACAGAAGAAATAAATAAAGTAATTGTGTTATTTACCTCAATATATATCTAGGATCTCACTATTTTAGTATTGTATTTTTATACTCAAGGGCAACTACTGACTAGCAAGTAACTAGAAGGTACTGTAGCTGTCCTGTAAATTAATATCTTTATAAGAAATCGTAAATACTATTAGTAAAATAGTAGGGATGTTGACAAGGATTACAAATTTACAGTGTAATTAAATCCTCATGTTTCAAATTACATTTTTGATGTGTAACACCTTTCCTCTCGCTTTTCATAATAAGGGACGGAAGTATGTAGTAGGAGTCAGAGGGCCTAGTGCAAGTTTATTTCACATCAACTCATTCTAGACAGCGAGCACGTTCGGCGTTGCGATTGGTGAAGATTTCAGTGCGGGCCAATCGCATCGCCGAACGTTAGTTTGAAATTCGATGCTACAGCGCTGCCACAGCGACGTATATAGTCGAGAATAGCACTCTTGGAAGCCAGGAGTGCTATTAGGTTTTACCCATAGAGATATATGCATAGAGAGAACACGGAGTACAGCTGCCTGTAAGTGGAAGCGATACAGGCAACGTGAGAGATAGATGCCCGATAGTACCCTCTGTGTCTGTTTGGCTAGGCTGCGATTGGCTATCGTGAAGTGGACATGGTTTTGATCTTAAAACAGGCGGGAAATTAGAAATTACCACAGCCAACCACAGAGCTCAACTAGAAATATATAGAGGAAGCTATCTATTATTCATCTCTCTCGTTGCCTGTAGTGCATGATTGAGGCTCTTGTTCACTCTATGCTTTTATCTCTATGGTGTCACCAATCCTAGGGTCCTAGTTAGCCATCAGATGACAGATGAGATGTCAAGTGTTACACATCATATGAGACTACTGTAAAGCTCGCTCATTTTTGTTTTCTTAAGCTATAATAAATAAATATTACAACTGATTGGCTTAAATAGAAATACTGTAACAGCTAACCAGATCCAATACATCATTAACCGATGAATAAGCTGACAGTTGATGAACTTTCAATTAAATCAACTATAAACTTGATCGTCGGTCACCTCTCTTTTTATTTTTACCACTATGAAGGACTCTACTCAATTAATCGGTTAGATGTTAAGTGTCAAATGATGGCGCGAGTTTTAGAAAAATAACTTTATATTTTCGTTTTTCTCTCTTGAATTAAGTTTTTTTAGTAGAATAGCTACTAGTCTGCGTCAAATGAGAGCCTAGAAAAAAAAATCAGACAATTTGTCAATACACCTATTGTATTTTATATTTAGGGCATCGTTTTTATGTGTCATATAGGTAAGTAAAGACTTAAAAAGGGTAATATTAATATAAATTATACCTAAATTTATAAATAAAATTTATATTTTTATTAAAAAGTTTTATTTCCACGACATATAAAAGTATAAAACTATCACACATAACCATAAAATCTACAGAGGAATATAAAGCACTTGAAATAAATAATATCACTGTTAATAATACCTCCTATTGATAAAGTTTTTATTGTCATATGTGACTTTAATCCCTTATAATTCTATATTTATACTAAAAAACTTATAATATACAATTGCACAACACAAATGTCGATGCAATTACCGTAATTTGAAAAAAATCCTTCAAGTAACGAGCCTTGACCTGAAAACATATGATGCCAGTTCATTTCAGTACAATACTTAGTTCAAATCCTGGCAGCTGACATAGGCTCTGAAACCTCACAAGTAAGTCGAATGGCTACCTACTATCGCATTCGTTTTTTTTATGGAAGAGGGGGCATACAAGCAGACGCGTCACCTGATGGAAAGCTACTACCGCCGTTTATTTAAATTGTTTCACATTTTTTATTTAAATTGTCTGTACTGACACGAAACGACACAGGCTGGCATAATACGAAAGGTTAGTTTAAACTATACAACCTTATTTATAATTATTTCCATGACATCCAGTATTACATTTCTTAAGTACCCTTACCACATAATATTATATGTATTTATCCAAATTCGATGTGGAATGTTTATAGACAGCAGCCAATGACGGACATGCTTCCAAAACCTCTTCAAATTGTATTTAAAATGATAAATTAGTACATTCTCCACAACAATTACAGAATTTGACAGCATTATGTAGTCTTCCAAATGTAAAATAAGCAGCTAATAGTTATTTGTAATTATACTGCTAGTTATAGGCAGTAGTGTACTGCTATGGCATAGTTTTTTACTTATGTACTTTGAAGAACCAAATTGTTGTTGATCACCGAGATTTAAAGAGAAGTAAATTTAAGAGTGGTAGATCGTATTTATGCACTTATATTTTATTTTTGTTTTAATTCTTACGTGTTACATAATGATAGATCGAGGTCCAGCAAACTCAATGACAGTTACCTCGGTAATGTCAAACTAGAAAATTACAATCATAATTACAATATTTTAGCACCTTTGTGACAATCCTCAACATGACCTATACTATAATTTCATTCATTGTTTGCAAAAATTCCATATCTAATTAGACTGAAGTAACTATAGTTACTTAAGGTCTAAAAATTTTGGCTGGAAAACCTGGATCACACACATTGTACATGACTGGGAAAATTAAATATGAAGATATACCTAGTACCTACCCATATAAGATATAAGAATGAGAGTTTACACTCCTATGACATTACTAATTAACCCATTAGGTACATCATAATATACTAAATACTTTGATAGAGCTACACACCTGATTTTTACCTGATTATAGCAATCCCAAAGGGATAAATATAAGATACCCGTGATCGTATGCCACATTGAAATAAGTGTTGTTTTGTGGTATTACATTTACTCAACGTAGGCAGGGCAAGATGGCATAGGCTATACCATGGCTATCCTCTGAACATCATGCCTATCTAAATACAGGTATAAATTCAAAATTTTGGATGGATTTTTGTTACTTGGACGAATATAAAGGAAATAGGCACTGAGATAGTTTTGTCTACTCAATGTCCCGCCAAAAATTTGTGACAAAATCGACATTAACACACTGGTTAGATGATAAATACTGAAAATTTTGTGGATAAGAATGGCGGCCAAGAATATTTTCTTATTAGGTATTTTTCAGAAATTTATTTTACGTAGTCGGGTTAGTCGTTTCTAAATTATATTTTATATTATATTTTATTTTATATTCATGCCGATAAAGCGTCTACCTGCAACATTAGTAAGTATTAGAGATGTAGTGTTTTTTTTACCAAAAAAAAGTTTTGATCATGAGGTTAATAAGAATTATACTTATATATACCTATATTATTCAATTAAGCCTTTATTTTTTATAAAGACAACTCACAGGTTAATGTGATTAGTTATCACATTAAATGGTCCCTTTAAAATATTCAATATTAGGTATTTCGGAGGGAGTATACGGAGTAGACCCAGTGCATGCCAGCAAGCCACTTAGGTATATATAGGTCCATAATATAGTTTGACTTATATTAACCTACACACCTTATACAATTAATATCGACTAATTAAACATTACATACTTATTGATTTAAATTTAAAACTAATATTAATAGGCAAGAGAAATGAGTTCCTCTTCGCTTTATACTAAGTGTAAACTATAGAATCAGTCATATTTATATAAGTATATGCATCTTCGTATCTTTGGCTGGCTACAGAATCCGTTCACCGAATTTTACCGAATGTATAGGATACTCTTCTTATTTTAAAATATAAAAAGCATTTTAATATCTCCTATGAAATTCATGTACACTTTAAAAGCCGTTTTAGGTATTGCTCTGGCTACATCACATAATAAATAGCATCTCATCACATCAACAGCCTTTAATAGTCCACTGCTGGACATAGGCCTCTCCTTAGAAAGGAGATTTTGGCCTACTATACCACGCTGGCCAGACGGGTTAGTGGAGGGTTTGTGTCAAGTTTTCCTTGTAGTTCCTGTTGTCCTGCGTAGTTTGCTCTCTTAGTCGGTTTTTACGACACCCACAGAATGAATAGGGGAGGTGACATTCCGTATTCTTAATCCGTCACCACACGGATTAGCTGTATCTGAACTAATGTTGGTCAATATGGGAATTCAATGTAAGGATTAAAAATACCTATAAATTAAATTATCACATCAATATAATGTTCTACCTACTAAAAACTTTCCTCACCTACAAACAACATTTGAAATAATCAAATTTAATCAATATAATAATAAAGCTTTATTTTATTCCTTACACATAGTTTACATTGGTTCTAAATATTATTTGTAGTGTTAGTATTATACTTATTCTAGTTTGTTAGTATTTGTTATTAAACTGCGTTAAAGTATTTTTTTTTTTTTTTTTTTTGTGTAAGGACCGCTCTGGCGGTGAAAGCCTCCTCCATTTCCTTCCATTTCGCTCTGTCTCTTGCCAGTCTGCTCCAGGTATTCCCCACCGTGGAAACTATGTCATCACTCCATCTTTTGAATGGCCTTCCTTTCCGTCTTTTCTTGTGAATAGGATACCAATTAGTGACAATTTTGGACCATTTGTTCCCTGGTGATCTTTGGACATGCCCAGCCCATTTCCATTTTTGGGTCATTATGGTTTTTGCTATGTCTTTTACCTTGGTAATTTTCCTGACATCTTCATTTCTCACTTTATCGCTTAGCTTAAAGCCCAGGAGACTCCTTTCCATGCTATTTTGGCACACTTTGATCTTATGAGTCTGTTTTGTTGACAAAGGCCATGTTTGGGAAGCGTAAGTGAGGCAGGGTACTAAACATGTCTGCATAGCTTTAGTTTTCAGTGTAACTGGTAGATTACTCTTGAATACCTCCTTCATTGCCCAATACTTGTTCCAGGTTATTTTGATTCTTCGCTCTACTTCTTTATCATTGCATGACTTGAAGGATAGTAAATGTCCCAAATAAATATAGTCTTCGGCGTATTCGATTTCTGTTGAGTCTGACTTTATAATTATGGTTTGCTTATTTGTCATTAATTTGGTTTTTTCCCAGTTAATTTCTAGACCTACTTTTCTGCTTTCTTTGCTGAGTGACTGTATCATGAGTTCCATCTCTTTTGGGTCTTCTGAGAGCAGTACTATGTCATCCGCGAATCGCAAGTGCGAGAGGCGGTTACCATATATGTTTATCCCTCTATCTTCCCAGTCAAGTTTTCTGAAAATTTCTTCGAGTACTGCAATGAAGAGTTTTGGAGATAAGGGGTCGCCCTGTTTCACTCCCCTTCCAATTTCAAAGGCTGAGCCATACTCATTTATTTTAATTCTAGCGTTACTTTTGTTGTATATTTCCTTCAATACATCGATATAGTCATGGTTCACTCCTTGCTTTGATAGAGCTCGCCAAATTGCACTGTGGGATATAGAGTCAAATGCTTTGCTATAGTCAATAAAGCATATGTAGAGAGGTAGGCCGTATTCGTTGTATTTTTCAATGACAAGTTTCAAAGTGTGGATGTGATCTGTTGTCGAAAACCCCTTTACAAAACCTGCCTGTTCTACTGGCTGGTGTTCATCTAAGATACTAGTAAGACGTCGGAGTAGAGTCGATGCAAACACCTTGTAGACGCACGACGTGAGGCTGATTGGTCTGTAATTTGATATTGATTTCGGGTCTCCTTTTTTGAAAAGCAAAACGATATCTGAGCACGTCCACTGTTTAGGTATTTCTTTTGTTGAGAGTATTAAATTGAATAGGTTTGTTAGTGGCGAAGTGAGAGCGTTTGTACCGGCAATTAGCATTTCGTTTGTAATACCATCAGATGCTGGGCTTTTTTCGGGTTTTAATAATTTTAACGAGCATTCGATTTCATTTATATTAAATACTGGTACTTCGTCATTGTTTTGAGAAACTCTTTCCTCTGCTAGATTTTTCTGGTTTGTGATATCTTGTGATGCATACAGTTGCTGGTAAAAGTTTGTGGCTATTTGCATGATCCCATCCCTGCTCGTAACTATAGATTTTTTCTCGTTTTGAAGCTGGTTCATCACGTGTTTTGAGTTGGTTAGATATTTATACGCCCTTTTAACTGCTCCAGATTTTCCAATGTGATTTTCTATAATATTGGCTCTATATTGTCTCATATTTTTCTTAATCTGTTTATTTATTCGTCTATATAGCTTGCTAAGTTGAGTTTTTTCATCTTTTGTTTTATTGTGCTTGTTTTTTAAGTAGTATCGTTGTTTACTAAGTTTTATAATTTCTGTTGTTATTATTACTTTCCTCCTGATGTTATAGTTTGAAGATGCAAACTTGATGCTAGTACGTTCAGCGCTCTGTAAGATTGTTTTCTCTATAATGTCGTAGTAGTTTTGCACAGATGTTATCGTGTCTGGCTCTATGAATTTATTGATTTCTGCGGTGTATATTTCGTAGTCAATTTGTTTTCGTGCTGTTGTAGAGAAGTTTTTACGTGGTAGGTGCCTGCGCTCAATATTGATTGTTATTCTAACCATGCGGTGGTCACTTGGGTGGTGCACGCTATTTATCACACTGCAGTTTTCTATAATGTTCGGTTTGTTTGTGGCGATGAAGTCTATTTCGTTTCGAGTATAACCATCAGGTGACAGCCATGTCCATCTTAGTTTTCTAGGTTTTCTGAAGAGCGTGTTAGCTATTTTCAAATTATTCTGAAGGCAGAATTGAACAAATCTTTCACCTCTCTTATTTCTTTTACCGTATCCGTAGTTACCCATCACTCTGTTCTCACCTCCTGCTGGTTGTCCAATTTTGGCGTTCATGTCCCCAAGAAATATAAAATTTGGGTTGCTTTTTTCCAATAATGTATCTAGGCTGGTGTAAAACTCTTCTATTTCTTTTTCGTTTGCTTTTTGGGTAGGTGCGTAGGTTTGACCGATACTATATAGTTTTCCATTCAGCTTGATGTGAATTAAAGCAACTCTATCTGTTATACCGATAAAGTCAAGGACCTCTACTGACAGTTGTTTTTTAACTAGGAATCCTACTCCATATTTGCCTTTGGTGTGGCCGGAGTTGTAAAGGTAGTAATCGTCTCTGTCTTCTATTGTAAAACCTTGTCGTCTCGTTTCACTGATGCCTATTATATCCCATTTTAGTGATGATATAGCATGCTCCATTTCCAGTACTCTTGATTCATTTGCTAGGGACCTTACATTGAAGGTGGCAATATAGAGCTCATTATTTTTTCTTGTTTTAGTTATTGGAGGGTTGTGGTCTTTCGCCCCCGCGGTGACCAGCCGTATTGGGGGACGTAATTCGTTTTTTCTTTTTGAGTTTTTGGTGTTTTTTCGACTTGCGAGAGGAGGCGGCGTTGATTGCTATACTGCGTTTTGATCATGGTTGACTTGCTGGTTTGACGGATTGTTTGTATTTTTGTTCACTAAGTAATTTAACATACTAGGCTTCAGGACTCCCTCAGTAATGCTAGATGATCTTTGCAGTGATGGATGGGCAGATTTAGGGTTGTGTTTCCGTTTTTCTTGTGGTTTTCTATCTGCTACTTTGTGAGGGTTTAGTTGGTTAGTCTCGGGAGAGACGGAAAGCATTCTCTTTTTGCTAGATGTATCTGATTTATTTTCAAGAACGATGAGTTTATCGTATTTAATAATAGCTTTATTTCCTTTTTCTTTTTCTATTTTAACTCTTTCCTGTAATTCTTTCCTTTTTTCTAAGATATTTTTTGGATAGTCCTCTTTTATGTAGTACTCAGTATTACTTAGTAACGATTTTTGCTTGAATATGACAAGCTTCATACCAAGTGTTGTAAAGGTTATTGTTATCGGCCTAGGCCTTTCCCCTTTTTTGCCTATTCGCGTAATCGCCTGTAGATCTCTTCTTTCAAGCTTAATGCGAAAGTGTTTATCAATAAAGTTTATGGTACTGTTTTCTAAATCAGAGTAAGACAATTCTTTTTCTTCTAATCCAAAGAGTACTATGTTTCTCTGTCTTGCCTGTTTTTCCAGAAAATAGAGTCTCTTCTCTTGGTATTCTACTTTTTCTCTTAGATTGTTGTGTTTTTCTTCCCATGTTTTGAATTTTTCATCAAGAATTATGTTAATGTTTTTTGTTACGTTTGTCGTAACATCTTCTCCGTTTTTAAGGATCGTTTTCTTCTGTTCGTCTAGCTCGTTTTGAATTTTTTGAAGTGCTAGCATTACCTCTTCCATAGTTGAAGAATTTTTGTATTTGGTTTTGTTATGGTACAACTGCTGCCCCTATTGGTAGTAAGCTGAACTAAGTAACGTTGTGGTGTGTTGCGTAGTGTCTGCTGCTCATCGGTAGATAGATGGCGCTATTTCCAAACAGACGATCCAGTAATAACTTTAGAATTTTTGACAAGAATCCAAAGTTAACACTTTCTGCTTTCCTTTGCGCTTCTTTGTTGACTCACCTTCTATATTAGGGTGTTGTAACTTCCTCTTCAATAAACTTGGTGGAATTCGAACGGTATTGCAGCGGTTGAAGAAATCCGTTGCCGTTGTTTTGAATACAGTTTCCCATATAAAGGATGCACTTTCACGTTTGATAACGATAATCCTGGTGTTTCACAACTAGTCTCACTCGAACGTTGCGGTTTGCGCTAGATATATCGTTGTTTTATACTTTTATTTGATAAAATATATCGAATCGTATTATCTGCTACTTGTCGGTAGATAGATGGCGCTATTTTCAAACAGATGATCCAGTAATGACTTTTAAATTTTCGCTTTTTGAGGTTAGAATTTTTTAAAGAATCCAAGGTTAACACTTTCTGCTTTCCTTTGCGCTTCTTTGCTAACTGACCTTCTATGTTAGGGTGTTGTAACTTCCTCTGCAATAAACTTGGTGAAATTCGAACGATATTGGAGCGGTTGAAGAAATCCGTTACCGCTGTTTTGATCACAGTTTTCCATTTAAAGGTGGCACTTTCACGTTTGATAACGATAATCCTGGTGTTTCACAACTAGTTTCACTCGAACGTTGCGGTTTGTGTTAGATATATCGTTGTTTTATACTTTTATTTGATAAAAATAGCGGAGCCGATGTAAACATGAGAACAGCAGCGCCCTCTCCTTTTATTTAATCAATACATAACTTCAATTACGTAGCGAACCTCCACCTAAGGCCGATGTAACATAGGGATCTGAAAACAAACATAATGCCTAACATTGTAGCTATTTCCAGCCATACTGAACTATGCTCAATATCTAAATATTTAAGCAGGACGTTTGGTTTGGCGAAGTGACAGTACATATCTTTACACTCCAAAGGTTGTCTACCGAAACCGAAGATTGTGAGAACCATGCCCACGATGCCGCATCTGATGAAAGACATCTTCATAAGAATGTTCATTAGAAGAGGGATCTCGTGTGCGAAATCAAAACCGTATATAGCTATCCCCAGGAATGGTGCAATTGCTGATGGACCGATGGCACACCCATTCTGAAATGCAATACAATATGTTTAATGACAAATTCAAATCTTGCCAGAGCGAAAAAACAAATAAAAAGTTCTCGATCAAGTTCCGACATCAAAGAAGTTTGAGCTTGTACATTGCTATAACATTTTTTTGACAGTATTTTAGAAAATAATTTGTAGATTCTTCTTAATCATTAAATGTTTAGTAAATAAAGTCTGAAGAATATATTTAGTACTAAGTTTAATATGACGCTAAAATGATAACACTTTGTTTACACACGTTCATGTAATATTCTTCTAAAGTGCTAAGAATCGAGATCGACAAAGTATCTTCCATAAGATATTAAATATTTTATCATTCCAATGTTGCTTTTAGTTTTATCTCATATTTGCGATATGCTTTGAACTTCTATCGTGAGTCGTGACGTCGACACTAGGCATGATACGCGTACTCACTCTAACGTTAAAGACGGAACCAATAGCTAAGCCCATGCCCTCTGCCGCCAATGACACCACGTTTCCCACCAAACAGAAACACAGAAACCGAACCGTGCTGAATGGTATACCAGCCATAAAATACACGATGGTGCAGAACATAATGTTGAATGATATTTGGATGGGTAACTTTGACACTGTTAGCGCTGCATAGTAGGGAGTCAAGCTATACCAACAGTTAAAATGTTCTTTTTTAACTAGTTTTACTTCTTGCGGATCTGTAAAATAAGAAAATTAAAATGTTGAATAAATCTTTATGGATACTCTATAATACGCTGGCAGTGATTATGCTATGAAATGATGATGATAAAATGATATTTATTTCTGCAAGTAAATCTTTCTGGATATTTTTACTAGTCGGCATTTACCGCTAGAAGGCACCGGTATTTCCTAAGACTCATTCTGGGAAGAAATGCCGAAACAAACCACAGAAGTGTCTTTTTTTAAGTCCGTGTACAATGTTAAAGAGAACATGTGAGTGCAGTATAGGGTCTGGGTTGGCCTTTTGAAGAAAGGATCATAGTTTTGAGTCGGCCCGTCTATACACACGGCACACAGGTTCCAGTCATCGTATAGCCTAACCGATACAGTCAGGATCAAGAACCCAAAACACGACACTACAGAACACTTGAGTAGGTCGTGGAAACACTCAAAACCACCTAAAACTTACTAAAATATGAACTAACATTATAAGCCAACAAATATCAACGAAAAAATAAACAAATTGAAAACAAACGAAATACGAATTAAAACAAAACAATAAATATTTATCACTTTCAAACAGTAGCATCAATCACAAGCAAATTTGTTATCTAAATAATCTGTAACCGTGTAGTAGGCATTTTCACACAGTTTTTTTGTTTTACAGAGGACTTAAATTTATTAATATATGTTGATGATATATGATTATGATATATGATAAATTTATATATATATATGACATCGAAAAGATTTAGACATATAACCTCCTCATTTTTGAAGTCGGTTAAAAATTTGTCACACCTGTATAGATCTTATAATAATCCGGAGTTATTATTTTATCAAAACGAATTTTAATATTTTTAGATCACACCTTTGTTCTACTTGTACCTTTTTTTTCTGTGCGGAAATCCCCTCGGATACCACCTACCGATGGCTATATCGGACTCGAACCGACTAAAAACCGCACGCCGTCCCGGGCACCAGTAGCCGGGGAACCAGGTGTACAGTAGAAAGGAAATCCCTGGTACCCCGACGTACCCCGGGGCATCTACGGGGGGTAGATGAGCCCCTCCTGTGTGAGAACCCCCCCCCCCCCTGGTGCTCCTCTCTCCCCTTTTGGCCGGGGTCGCAGCGGCCTGCTTCTGCTAGGGTGACAGATGGCCTCACCTGTCACCCCCAGGCCTGCGCCTATCGAGGACGGAGGTCGTTCTGCGACCTCCGGCGCCGGAGTCGTCTGCGGTACCTGGCCCGTTCCCGGGCCTGGCGGGCCGGGAGAGTTCTAAACCTCTCCCGGTCCCGCTCCGCCATCTCCTTCGCAAGCATAACTTGCTCGCAGAAGGAGACGGCGGAGTTCCACGCCTTGCCCGGTGATCACCTACGTCAGCCGGTATGAAAGGGTTCCGTGACGCCTCTCGAGCCAATCCTCCATAATGGGTCTTACCGCCGCAATGTTCTACTTGTACTTGGTATAAAAGTTGAAATATGATACAAACATTTTATTATTTCTATTTTTTCATCTTTTGTTTGTGTGTGTATCTTTGTGTATTTAATCTTTTGCATTAATAGTCTACATTGGATAAATACTAAGTCTCATGCACATCTGTTATCTATGTAATTACGTGAAACTTAAATTATGAAAATGTTATCGTCCTTATGTGATGTTGTAATAATGCTGTTGATGTGTTTAATATAAATAAATAAAATGTGTGTACTCACAAACAAGAACTGGTACCATGATTTGAGTATACGCGAAGAAAATGACGAGTCCAACGCAAAACTTGAGGTGGTTAAACATTTGCGTCCCATCGTTAGCCATATTCCAGAAACATACGCCGACTAGTAAACCACACATCACATGGTGGACAAACTGGATGCTTATACCTGAAGTTTAAAAACTGCCAGTGTACATACGAAGTAAACAGTAAAAAAGTTAAACAGTACGTTTACATACGAAGCTGCAAATTGTACCTTAAGCATTTCGTAAACCTACTTTTCGCTTTTTGTTAGGGACCATTTTGAGCGTTGAATTTTCTGTAGCTATAATTGTAATGCTGAACATAGTAATGATAGGATTATACGGATTTGTGCTTAGATAATATGCACACGGGAAAAACTGGTTTTGCCCAAGTACGTTAATCTCGTCGTTCGTACAATTAAAGTGACTGACTAACTTTAATTAAAAAAACCATGTGGTGTCGTAAGACATCCAATAGGAACAAAGTTTCACATGCTCTAATACTATTGATTGTAGAGAAACAAGAGTAGTCTGATTTTATTCCTCATCAAATTCTCTAAAAATCATCATATTGTCTCGATCTCCGATGCGTTGTTCTCGAGTTATTAAATAAAAATGTGCAATGAAAGTAGACGGATTACTTTCTCGGCAGTCAGCGAATGCAGAGCGAGAGAAATAGTGACAAAGGCGTTTCGTAACGTACGCTTTTTCTCATGAAATCCCTCACGCCACATCGTCCCATAAGGAACTTCATTCTAAAAAACCCCACTATGATTAATCTGATAAACAATTTAAAAACTTATGAATTATTGTAATTTCCAAAGTTGTATGCGATACCAACCTTGTTTATTCCTAAATATTTGTTTCGTCATCCGCTGCAGTAGTATAAAGAACTGTTCACAATATGTAGTTGCATATTCCGAAGTATTCGACTTTTGTACTTTCATCCATGCCATAGAGGAATCACCGTTGGACAAGTGACTGGACGATGAACTTACAGAGGTACTCGACCCGTCATACTTTGATGCTTTGTAACTGCATTCCTGATTCGATAGGATTATCTGTGTTTCTTGAGCATCCGGGTTCTCGTAGCAAACTTTTAACTCCATTTGATTGTTTATTGGCTCCTTGGGGGTTTCGTTTAGTTTTGCTGACTTATAAACTTTTCCATTCATGATCTCTTCGGACAATAATTTTATGTACTCTGGGTGTTCCGTCATTTCAATAACTGAAATAGTAGAAAATAATATTATGTGTTAATTTATTTTGAGTAGGAACCGTTTAAACAGTCAAATACTTAATTATTTAATAATTTTACCGATAGGCATTTCCCGTAAGTAGGTATGACAATTGTTAAGTAGGTATAACGACAAAATAATAGTCAATTAAAATATATTTTGCCAAATCCTAGACCTATCACAGAAAATGGACTTGGATTTTTGATAATTAGTGAGTCAGTCAGCTATTTCCAAAAATGATGATTTTCAGACTTTCATTTCTCATATATACTAGCAAAGCTTTTACAGCTTGTACAGACTTTTATTTTAATAGGTGTATCAGTTCACTACAGTATTTTCAACTCGAGACTAAATTCGCAATCCCACAGCCAGTGCGCATTGTTGATTTACAAAGATGATGTCTTGTGTTTTATTAATTTCTGCATAGGTATAAGAAAGGTCGTTCGTGAAAAACGGAAAGTAAATATTTAAAAAATATTAGATATAAATTTTGGTACCTTTTTTTTCCGTGCGGAAATAGTAAAAAGAAAAGCATTGATATAGCAAATAGTATGTAATTAATTCCAGCTTATTTCAAATTCTTGTGACACTTTACGTCATTCCAATTTGAATACCAAATCATTTCTTGGTAACTGTGTTTTACATAGCTCTTTTCCCTTGCAGATTTGCCGTTCTAGCATTGTAGTATTCAAGATCTTTACTACTAAATAAGAGGAATATTTATTTATACACACATTGCATTGTGGTATTTGATCAACCATGCTCTGCAGGTTCAAAAATATATATACGAAAAGTGTGCAGAAACTATTTTCCCTTGTCTCATCTTAAAAAGATTTAATTCCCAAAGACCGTAGACGCTATTAAGGCTATAAAAGCGTCCACCCTGCAATGTTTGACGTTGCGCAACCCCAACACAAAATCAGGAAAATGACTAGAAGATGATGATGAATTGGTACAGGTACGGATAGGAATAACTAAAATAAGTACTCACTAAAATCGGCCGGATTATGATGCCTAGGACAAGGCATACCAACGCTTTGAAGGAAAGGCACCATGGCTGATGTATCACCCTGATATATACACAGTCCGTCAGCTAGCACGTACACCTAAAATAGAACAAATACATTGTTATGTCACGTGATTTTTGTTTTCGTGCACGGGACATGGTGCTACCACGGGATGTCATTTTGTAAAATCACCAAAGAAAAACAGTATCACAATGTCTATACAATAATTTTCAACTCTCAATTTTTTTATTGATGGTTTTGAGTACGTACCTACTCAAATAGATTACATACATGTAGGTCATGTATTGATGCCATCCAGTCATAACATTAATGTACGAACATTCGGTTTAAAGATCTTTATTTCTAAGGACAAATTTATCACTAAACATTCAACGACGTTCAACCAACTTACAATAACAAACATCATAAAAATCACCTCACTTATTATTGTATTCTTAAAATGTTTTCTTATGCTAAAATATCTACCTTATTTAAAATTTCTATGTCCATATGTACTCATACTAATTAACTTTACATTCGATTGGACGCTAAGTCTTTTCCGGCCGGAGCGGCATACGGCCCCCGCCCGAAGACGTATGCGAGTGGCGTGAGACCGCTCGCCGGGCCACGATGGCTCGTTGGTCGTCCCAGTTGGAAGTTTCCACGTGCTGGGTTTGCAGCCGTGGAGCATCAAAAATTGAACGCAATGTTTGCTGTTTTTTGCATTCCTAATAAATATTATTTAAACGTTAGGTAAGTTGTGCCTATAATGTAGGCCAAAATTGCCATTTACAGCATATCATTAAAATGAGTATCTTATTAGATATCAGAGATTTAAAATGCGGGGACAAAACGACCGTCACCGCGTCAGGCCGCGACCGTTCGTCCGTCTCGGGTGGCAGCGGCCGGTAAGAATGGAGCGGGCCTATAAATATTGCCTATAAAGATGTCCTGTAGTATAGTCTTATCATAATAATAGTATGTTTTTATGGTATAAAGGGGCAAACGAGGAGATCAGGTGACCCGATGGTAAGCAACTACCGCCGCCCATAGACACCTGCAACTCAAAAGTCACAAGTGCGTTGGGGAGGGGGGATTTGGGCTCCGGTAACCTCACTCACTCAGTGAAAGGCAACGAAAGAATTGCTTAACACCGGTTTTCTGTGGGGCCGTGGTATCACTGCGGTCGAGCCGGCCCATTCGTGCCGAAGCATGGCTCTCCCACGTTAATACCAGTATATAGTATAATTAATTACTTCACACTGACACTACAGTAGTTGTATTACTCGTAGTAGTATCTACATTGCACCCGTGTGAAGCCGGGAAGATCGCCTACAAATATTTGTTAATCGATAACAAAACAATTGCTGGAGACCTGCCAGAACGGCTATTAGTCAGTCAAGTAAATTGAATTACAAATTAGTCTTGCACTGAACACATTATTAATAGAATAGAGTATCAAGCTCCTATGTTGCAGTTTAATATTTTTCTTTCGATGAGTGATCAAAGTTTTCCCAGTAAATTATTTGTCTTATAGCAGTGGTCATGTGGATAGTTCATAGAGTAGACAGCGTATTTAAAGTGCGGATATTAAATATCTACATATTCTATCGTTATTATACACTGGTTGAATATACACTGGCTAAACGGCCATCAACATTCTAGTCCACATTGATTATGTGATGACCCTACAACGTGTTTTTAATATTTGTAATATAGGTACATACATATACTATAACGTATCTATATTACCTTGTTTATAACATTCATAAAAAAAACTGGACGATTTTTTTTTGCAAGATGTGAGAAAGAGAAATCACAATTTTTGTTGTATTAAATCTGATTTTCTGCTACTTATTTAAATATTTTTTTTATGTTAGAGGGGGCAGACGAGCAGACGGGTCACCTGATGGAAAGTGACCATCGCCGCCCATGAACGTCTGCAACTCAGGAGTCACAAACGCGTTGCCGGCCTTTTAGGAAGGAGTACGCTTTTTTCTTGAAAGTGTAAAGGTCGTATCGGTCCAGAAATACCGCAGACGATAACCCGTTCCACAGATTGGTTGTGCGAGGCAAAACGTGTCTTGAAAAGCGCACAGTAGTGGAGCGCCAACTATCCAGGTAATGAGAATAAAATTTGCGATGTGGAACGATGGCGGAAATTTGCGGCTATTATATATATTATTCATTCGATTATAATCGCACTGTCGTACTTTTGGCCTGCCGTGCTTGAACATTCTAATAGGTATGATTATGATCTTAGTCCTCAAAAAGATGAGAATAGTACTGAGGGCCAAGTGCGAGTTTATTTCACATCAACTCGATCGTCAATGTGACCGCGTTCGGCACTGCGATTGGCCCACACTGAAATCTTAACCAATCACAACGCGGAACGCGCTCGCCGTTCCGCGTTGTAATTGGTTAAGCCGCCGAGAGCGAGTTGACGTGAAATAAACTCGCACTTAGCCCTCAGAACAGTTCTGTAGGGGAAGTAGTTTCTCCTTAGGATGTCGTGAGGAGTGTTACTACCTTTCAATGAAAAGGTAAAAAAATTAAAAAATATAGCTATTGTGCCGTAGGTTTTGCGTAACATTAGAACCGTAGCACTCCTTTTTACATTCTTATAGCCTTCTTCTTCATCATTCATCTTATGGCTTTTCAAGAGGAGTGTACACAGGAGTTTCAGCAGATTTTCTTGCATACTTCTTTTCATTCATATCATAGAGGTCCATATACTACAGTACAGTTGAATTAAATCGAGGAGGCTCGACTTAATTCAATCTTTATTCAAGACGGTTAAAAACTCATAATAGTAATACTATTAAAATGAATTAAATATATGTAGTTTTATTTATAGCATTGAAATCCTTCATCTCGTAGGATATTTAAGTAGAGTTGGCTATCCGTATTACATTTTCTAGCTCACAATAAACAAGAACAAAGTCAGATACTGCATTCTATACAACTTAACAAGCATAGGATTAGACATCTAAACCAACAATGAAATTACCTAAGTGCTAACAGATTGGTGGCACATAAAAGTTTCCATAAAAACAATAACTTATATGATAGGTGCTGAGATTTGAAAGAACAATAATAGATTGTGTGTTGGCTAAAGATATAACATAAAATATTGTATTGTAATTTGTAGTGTATTTACAGCAGTTCAAGGACCAATATCTGCCAATGCTCAGACATGCGTATATTCGAAGTACAGTGTTATTTTAGTCTACTTATTGAAATCTGCAAATAGGTTTAGCCACAAAGGCGGAGCTGGCAAAACAAAGCAAAGCAGCTCCAACTTACGTTTTTTCCTATCAGTTATGATTTCTTAATCTAATAAAACACATTAGAGGCTAATAAAAAAATATGTTTTATTTTTATTTCAATGCGTACTGCGTACGTCAATTAGTAAAACCAGTGCGAGCAATGCCTGACAAATAAGAGATCATCGTCATAGCAACCTCTTTAGAGGCGTATTTACAAATAAAATTTAAAATTCTGCACAAAAGTAGTTTAGAAAACGCAGTAACGACCGTGCCGTTATTGATCTAAATAAAAAATCGAGATACTTTATCCTTAGTGCATTTACATCTTTATAAAGCAAAACTAATTTACATTGCAACCAACATCATAAAAGTTAAGGAAATTTTCTACATCCATACTTAGGTATATTATAAATGTGGAAATGAGTTTGTTTGTTTGCTTGCTTTCTCGGCTAAGTTACTAAACCGATTTTAAGAATTCTTTTACCAATGAAAAGCTACACTTTCAGCGAGTAACATACTACTCTACCGATAACCGACATGCACGTGGGCGGAGCCGCAGACAAAATCTATAGTCAACAATAAAAGGAATATATTACACTAGCCTTTGCCCGCGTCTATGCCTGCCCCCCCGAAAGCGTAACAAACAAAGTAACTTTAACATCTATACAAATAAATAAAATTGAAGTGTTTGTTTGTAATGTCAAAATAAAAGGTTTTTTCATGCTGACACGGTTATTTGCACGAAACCTGTGCCTAAAACCAGTTTAATTTTTTTGTCTGTCCGTCTGTTTGCTCCGGGTAATCTTCTAAACGGCTAGACTGATTTTGATAATATTTTACTACCAGGTAGCTGTCTATATAAGGAGTAACTTACTCAGAAAAACCCTTTAAAATTAGCCCGATCCGGGAATCGAACCCACTAAGGCAGCACTTTTCAAATTCCACGCAAACGAAGTCGTGGGTACCAGCTAGTTTATGATATAATGTATGGAATAAAGTATGGAAGTATGCATGTTTTAACCATAGGTCAACTCAAAATCACTGTAAATGGATAAATTCTTAAGGATGAAGATGATATGAATGATAAATTCTTCATCCTTTAAAACACATTTCTATTATTTCTGTCAATAGTTCACTCGATTTCATCAAATATTGCATGCAGGATTTTTTATACAAATATTGTAGTTACCTGATCGAATAGCTCTAACAGTGAGGCAGCGGGTTGATGTATTGTACACACGACGGTCCTGCCTTGCCTCGCTAACTGCTTCAGCAATTTGACACACTGTGTACTTGTGACAGTATCGAGACCGCTCGTTGGCTCGTCCAGAAAAAATATGGGAGGGTTGTTTACCAGTTCCAACGCTATTGATAACCTGGAAATTACAAATGACGTGTTTTAGTTCATCTAGATTCAGAATAATGTAAATCTCCTTGAGTGTAATAAATCAGTATAGACTGTTTTTTTTACTCCAATAAATAAATTCTGGATTAGGCTATTTAACATTGTGGCGGATGCAATTGCGATTCTCGCTCCCCCGGCCATTGGCAAGCAGAGAAAAACCATGGTGGTTTTTAGTCGGTAAGAGTCTGACAGGCAGTCGTCGAATAGGCGAAGGAAATCGATGAGGATCTTCCACCCCGTTAAAAATAAAAAGGCTGCATTCATTCAACATTACAAAACGATTAAGAGCGGACAATGGACCATAACGTTACTGTGAAATTAATAAAGTACCATCAGTCAAATATAAAAGTCTTGTCTTCTTAAATACATGCTTAATACTTTTGGAATGTGTATTAAGGAACTAGAGTCTTGGAATTTTAATTGATTCGTAAATAACAGTTCAAATCTATTTTTAAAGGTCAGTTGTTTTATGAATAGAACAACTATTTGTTAGTTAAACAACAAATAGTAAACGTAGTGTACACAAACATAGCTAATTTATTAATTAGTAATTACTTTAATTTAAACTGAACAATTTCGTATTCTTAGAATAGCTTTAATTCATGAAACCCGCAAATTACCTATACTGTAGATTAATATTAATGTAGATTAATAATCATCGAAGTATATGTAGCTAACATCCCATATTTAACAGTTTGTGACTTAAAAGATAGATTCATCACAATAATATTTCAGACCAATAAATTACAGGAACAGATTTAAGTATAGGAATTGAATTTTTTTTTTTTTTTTTTAAAAGACAACGCCCGCATTATGAATAAATCCTGTGTCGCGGGGGACTTTACAAACATACATGAAACGGACACAAAGAACACCCAGACTCAGAACAACAATTTGTGGATCACACAAAGTGTCGTCCCATGTGGGGTTTGAACCCACAACACTCGGCGCAGTAGGAAGCGCGTGGCGACCGCTTAAACCACTACGCCATCCGTGCAGTCAAATTTAGTGAAATTCAGCGCTTAGTACGCTTGTTCTTTTTTGCAAAGCTGTAACTATTCTGTGATGCGTAACAGCATTAATAATAAAAGGGTCTGGAATAGCAAAAATTATCGAAAACTTAAAAAAAACAGCATATAACTAACAAAAAATGGACACTAACCATTTAATTGATTTACTTTTAATAATTTATTAAATGTATGTCGGAACTCGTGAACTGTGTTAACACAATACAAAAGTAGGTCGTGTCAAGACAATGAGGGTCTTCGATACTTTTTCTGCCACCAGACGGCGCTTCGTATGCGTCAGGTCCAAACAGCTGTCAGATAGCACAGATTCTTACCAAATGTATAATATTTTAGTGAAATTCTATGAATTTGGAAGTGTTATTGAGTTTATTATAGATTACGGCCAGAGAAAGGTTGCCGAACTGAAGATTGAGCTAAAAAGAGAGGCGCAAAAGATTTATTTGCACACATAGGCACTGCACAACACTGTGGAATTTTAGAAATCAGTATTCCTTTTGTAACGTTTTTAAGAATGAATAACCCAAAACAATGATCGAAAAATACAAATCGTGTATGTGTTTTGACAGGTGGTTGGACCTGACGCTACAGTGCTACCATCTCAAGTGGAACATTTCAGAAAACCCTCATTGACTGCATACTTTAATTTTGTTTAATGCATTATATTATATGACTACACCCTTTTTTAAAGAGATGAGCATAACAACTACCGTACAATAAATTAGGTATTTCCATTCCATACAATCAGTACAGTATTCTATAACGGCTATAAAGGAAGTACCAAGATACGTGTTCTATTGGCAAGGGCTGTGCACCTTGTAATTTATTATGCGTGCCCACGTCCACATTTCACAATGCACAATGCTATGCACTTTTGTTTACTTCTCAAGATTGTTCTATGTGACCGTGGGAAAGTTTTTCTGATCGAATATTGAAAGTAGTTTAGCTATTGTTAATATAATAACAAAAACTTAAGATGTAAGGTAATATCAAAGTTGATTGTACGTTATTACATATACTTCACAGAAAGTTTTTAAGCCTTTAAGCCATGTTTTGGCATTGGTATAGTTGAGAATTGAATGTAGACGGTGCTTATAAAGGGACGTCATTTTTTAAATCTGCCTAAACAGATTCTTGGCACCAGATAGACATCTCAGTTTTTTATATCCTATTGTATAGACACAGTGTCAAGGTCCATAGGACAAGGACTGTTCATAATGATTTCGTATTTTTTTCATTCATATTTATTTTTGACCCATTGAATAAATTGCCACAGAACTTTATCAATCGAGCGAATTATCCATTAAGGAAGGGTGTGATTTTGTCAGGAAATCGATCGAAATTCATAACTGCTAACATGTATTGTAAAAAAAATCGGTCAATGTAAACTCATGGTTGTTTTTTTTTTAAATATGTAAAAACATTTATAAGATCTAACAATAAAAACGTCAACGAATAATGAGAATAATTATTATTAGTTATAATATTAATAATAACTATTATTGTTAATATTTTATCAGGCATGATTTTTTTTAAATAATCAAGAATTTCTTCGATAATTCAAAATTTCATTTAAAAGAACAAAAAAATAAAGGATTTATTTTTATCATTATTTTTATTAATATAACGTTATTGTGAGTGTACTACTACTTTTAGAGCCTTTTTGCGACTTTTATACCAGCTTTGGTTCACCACAATCTCACATCCCTGCCCGATTGTTGTATATTAAATATGTAGTATTTTAAACCGTGTTTTATTAGTGAATTCAGTTCGAACACCACCAGTTGAGAAGAGGTACATTCGGAAATTATACAGGCAACAACAGAGGTTCAACCGGAGTGATTTCATGACCTCACAGAAAACCGTTGTTGAGCTATCCTTTCGTTGTTTTTTTCCGAGGGAGTGAGGTTACCGTGGGGCTAGCCCAAACCCATCCTCTTCCTAATTCTGGGGGAACTCTCAAGGCTACAACGCACTTTTGTGAACAAGTGAGCGCATGGGCGGCGGTAGTCATTTGTTATCAGGTGACTCACCAGGTGACTCACCTCACAGGAGGTGGTCCACTAGTTTTCACCCCTATATCATAAAAAATAATAATAATGTGCGTCAAACTGAATATTCACACAGTATCATAACATGTACACTCAGTAAACCTACGAATTTAAGGCATAAATTTAGAAATAGGCTGAGTTGTTGAAAAATAACAAGTAAATTCAAAATGTACAATTGTTTTCTGAACCGGAAGCGTTAATGACACAACAATGAAGACAGATCTTTTGCTGCCATTATCCATCATATATCTTCAGGGTTTGATTTCACGATTAGCCTTTTAGGCCCTTTATTGAAGTCCTTTAAGATTAAAAATGCGAATACATATAATAGATTAAATACGGAAGACGATGACGATCTATTCAAATATTATAAGGAAAGAAATTCTGTCAATCTATTGACAGTCTATCTGTTTGACAGGCTTTAACTATTCAATCATCATGAAATTTTGCGTAGATATTGTTAAGGGTACATAGCGTAACTTTCATTCAGACCGCTATTCCCAAGTCACGGGCAGTAGCGAATAGTAACGTCAGATAATTCATACGTTTAAGCATAATTATATATATATAATATGGTAATTCAACCACTTGCTTGAATTACGAATGTGACGCAAAGAGTCACCGAGAATTGACATTGAACATTTAACATTGTAAATGCAAAAGCAGTATGTTTGTTTGTTTGTCACGCATTCATATCCTTAATGGGTCATCGTGAAATTTAACATAACAACTCATCGTCAAAGATTTAATGTCAAAATCTAAATTAACACTAAGCTGCTGCCAACATCTTAGTGTTAATTTAGATTTTGACATTAAATCTTTACCTCTGGAACTGTAATTTTTTCTAAATGACGGGCTTGCTAAAATCAAATGTTCTTTTCTGTTCTCCTGACGATGAGTTGTTATGTTAAATAAATGCTCTGGACGGTCAGTAGTAGTAGTTAAACAAATATAATAATACCTTTTCTTCTGTCCTCCAGACAACATCTCAGTCTTCGTATGTTGATGTTCCAATAGTCCCAATTCCTGAAGAATTTCTTCCGAAGGTGCTTTACATCCCTTAGGCACTTTCAAGCTCGACGCTACATCCATAGTCTCTCGAACTGTAAGCAGTGGCTGGAGCAGGTCTTCTTGGGTGATATAGCAGGAAGACCTCTGGAAAAGCTGTTCGTCCCTAGGTTGCCCATTTACCAGAAACTCTCCTACGACCCCTGCAGACCTGTGAAGAGAGAAGAAACTAAGTACATGACACTTTAATTAATTTATTATTATTAACTAGAAACCTGTAAGGTAAGCTGGTTACTTTGTGCTCTAATTTATTTTGAATAGCCCAGTTTAAGTGACTGGATTCTGAATGACATGACAGACAACAACGCGAATAAAATGCCACATTTCTGTGTTTTCTATAAATCTTAAAGTTTAAAAAAGTTTTCTTCTAGCCTTTGAGATTAGGATAGAATAACTAAATATAAAGGAGAAAAGTAGACATACCCTTTCCCCTTTATATTTAGTTTTTCTGTACCTTTTCTTTTGCCTGTTTCGCCTTTGGTAACTTAATTGATTTAAAAATTTACGACATATTATGACTAAATTTAATTAAGTTAAAGAAACGTAACTATATGATATATTATACTATAATATACAAAATTGTGTTTGTTACGATAACGGTAGAAACATCATTTTTCGTGCACAGTCACTACTAATTCTTATCAGTCGATTCAGTTTTAAAAGAAACAATAATATTAGGTCCTTACATATGAAATTAGCGTTTTGTCGTACTGACCACTTTGATCTGAAATATCTCCTCTTTGGTTAAGAATTCCAAATTCAAATTTCTAAATTCATTTAGCTGGTACATTTGAGTTTTGAAAACAGTTATTCATTTGTTTTTTCCTCGTTATTTTTTTCTTTGGCGTCGCTTATTACCGCACGACAGAAAACATAAAATATCGGTATATTTACGAGTACGAGTTCTACCGTGGCACCAGTGCTGCAGAAACAGCTCGAAGGGTTAATGATGTGTACGGCGCTGGTGTCGCAAAAGAAAGCACGGTCTTTGGTTTCAACGTTTTCGTTCTGGAAATTTCTACCTTCAGAACCAACCTCGTGGACGGCCGGAGACAAACGTAGAAAATGAAGAATTTAAGGCTATTGTGGAAGCGGATCCATCACAAAGCACTTCAGAGATAGCTGCAGGTTTCGGAGTAAGTGATAAAACTGTATTAACTTGAACGATGGGTACCTCATGAATTGAGTGAATCGAACTTGCAAACACGCGTCGACTGCTGTTTTACTTTGCTCAACCAACACAATAATAAAGGGATTTTAAATCGAATCATTACTTGTGATGACAAGTGGATATTGTACGATAATCGGAAGCGCTCGTCGCAATTGCTGAACCCTGGAGACCCACCGAAATCCTGCCCTAAACGAAAACTGACTCAGAAAAAGTTACTTGTGAGTATTTGTGGACTAGCGCCGGTGTTGTCACTACAGCTTTCTAAAATCTGGCCAAACGATTACGGCAGATATCTTTTGTCAGCAACTGCAAACCATGAAGGAAGAACTAGCTGCTAAACAACCGAGATTGGTCAATCGCTTTAGGCCACTGCTGCTTCACGACAACGCACTGCACAACAAACAACCACTAAGTTAGATGAGCTACAATTGGAATATCTGCGACATCCACCGTACTCCCCGGACCTTGCTCCAACAGATTACCATTTTTGACGGAATTTGGACAACTTCTTGCAAAGAAAAAAATCAACTCCAATCCAAACCACCTTCAAAGAGTTTATTGATTCTCGCACCCATGGTTTTTTTTAGTTAAGGGATCAATGAACTACCTATGAGATGGCAAAAGTGCATAGATAACAACGGTGCATAATTTGATTAATTAAATATATTTTACAAAAAAACAATGACTTTATATTCCACCCGTACAAAACGCCAATTTCATAAAAAACACATTAATAGATAAAAAATATACAAAAGAAATATACCTATTACTCACTAAACTTCAATGCACTTTAATTTTTTTAAGGATTATAGGGATATTATAGAAACTAACTTATTACAGGTACGCCCAGGCACATTGGGACCCCCAGGTCCACAGGGACCAGGTTTAAAGGTAGCGCTTAAGAGTTTTTAACCCTCTACTGCATGATTTTTTTGATGTCATATAAATTATGTTGTTTGATAAGGCCTGCTAGAAGGCTTTACTCAGAAAAAAGTACTCGCAAGAGATAGAAATAATAACTCAGCGGTGACTTAGGTGTCAACACAAATGAATCGAAAATAAATATAAAATTGATATGACGTGATACGTCTTAGCTGATGACATCCCTAGGTTAAACTGATCATCTGTAATACATATCATTATAATATATCATCGACTCGTTGACAGTCGCCGATATAAAGCTATGTCGGTGACAGGTACAATGTCGTTAGGTGTGTAGGAATCAAAATATAGAACAGTATAATTTTTTGTGATTTGACCTTTGATATCGTAGTCGTCTTCTTAGGTACTTAGTCCGTGTGGTAACCGTTAAGGACACGGAATGTCCACCATCCCTGTTCATCCCGCAGGTGTCGTAAGAGCCGACTAAGTGAGCAAACTACGCAGAACAACAGCACTCCAAAAATAAGGAAAACTTGACACAAATCCTTGATGTGTAACATATGACGTCTTACCTACTATCCGATAGTCAATTTTAACACCGCGCGCGCTTATTGTTCAAATCACGTACCGCAAGCTTCCTCGGCTTCATGTTACACATTTCCGTCCCTTTTCACAAAATAACTTCAATCGAAAGAAATGTTAATGTTACACATAAAAAATATGAGTAGGTATATCTGCAAGTAAATACTTTTTTCTAGACGTAAATATCCGTGTGGTGACAGACTAACAAAACGGCGTGTCACCACACCTCTTCGTCACGGGTGTGTCACTGTATTTCAACTGTATTTCATTTATGAATTAGAGAACCATTTATTATAAATTATCGTACTCTTTATCTAAATAAATTATTATTATTATTATAAGAGCCGACTACGAGGCATATGTCCAGCAGTGCATTGAAGGTTGTTGATGTGGTCTGATGAAATATAGTGAATAGACTTCTTAAAGTTAATTATAATCGATAAAACAATGTCTAATTCTAACATCGTGCGGCTAAATACCTACATACAGTTAAATGAAAATCATACACCTAATCTTAAAATGAATTTCTAAATTGCCATGTAAACAGTGAGTGTAGTGTAGGTACGTTAAGTCGCACATAATTAACATGACTCAAAGGAGACTCGATTAGTATTCAAAGAAGCTATAGAGCTTCCGAGTAACGTTATATAAATAGATAAATATAACCGTAAAAATAACGTACGTACTCATAAGAAAAACAAATACTACATGATCACATCACATCAGATACTACATCATACAAGTTCTGTAATAGGTATGTTTATTAAATTTCTTTCATAAATTTCTGTACAATAGCTCCTTGAAATTCACATCATAAATCAACAGCCTTTAATAGTCCATTGCCGGGTTTTGGCCTACTATGCATCGCTGGCCAGTCGGGTTAGTATAGCACTAAATACGATATATATATATATATATATATATATATATATATATATATACGATATTACGATACCCACTAATGAATAGGAGTGAGGACACTCCATATTCTTAATCCGTCACCACACGGACTTGACATTCGTTTAGATAAATCATAATTTGTAGGTGCGAAGATTCCACCTAGGTGAATTTATTTGGGTTGTCATTTATATACTATTTCATTTTACTGCTTATTTGAATTTAGAATCTGAACCCTTTTTGAAATATCACGAATAGGTAGACCAAAATCAAGTGTGTAATATGGCCTCAAAAACATTTATTTGTACCAGTATAAAAGGAACAAAAATTTAATTCTACCTTCTCACTCAATAAGAAACATAAATATTACTACGATTACTAAGCAAAAGAAAAATGAAGGTAAATTAAACAGAAGAAAAACATAAAAATAAGTATAAATCATACAGTAAGTAAATAAACCCTACCTATTGCGATTTCTGATTATCAGCGATAAAATGTATGGTGAAGTGTGTTTTCTATCTATATAAAATTAAAACCTTCTAAGTGTGTGATTCAAAAGGAAATTCAAACCACACACTTAGAAGACATAATAGTTGCTACTCTCCCAGTTCTCGTTATAGACGCATAACTATATAAATACAGAATAAACTTAGAAAGTGCACAAACCTGTATCCAGACAGTGCGTTGAGCAGTGAGCTTTTCCCAGCGCCAGAAGGCCCCATAATAGCTACCAGCTGCCCGGACGTGAATCTGCCATGTACGCCTTTAACTACCACTTTCTTAAGACCTGCAAACAATGAAATGTGACATTTTAAACGCTGATATTCCGGCTAGGATTACAATATTATTTTATTGTCACGCTCTAAAACTGCAGAAATAATACCACGTGCAATTAAAGATAATCTGAGACCCTTACCGTTGACCCGTACCACGAGACTACTAAGTAACAACGTGTTTACAACTAAGTATTTTACAATTACTGTAATGTAACATTATGGAACATTAAATTTAAAAACATCTATGCTTATTGTGTAATAAATTAAAAATATAATCATCATAAATAAATTGGACACGCTCCCTGAGGTTGGGTATATATTTACTAATATTATAGATGCGAAAGTAACACTGCTTGGTACGCTTTCATGGCTAAATCGCAGATTTTACGAAATTTGGAAAGAAAGAAAGCAAGGACTTAGGCTATTTTTTACCGTGATAACCGTGATAACTAGCGGAGCCGCGAGCAAACGCTAATATGTTAAATTTCTGTTAGTTGTAATAAGAAGTCGAACCGAAATTCGGTTGTGTAATTAGCCCGAAGGATTAGCGCTTCGGAAGTCATTAAAAGACTCAGAAATATTAATTATTATGTAGTTGTATAAATTTTAAGATAAAAGTTATCATTTTCATTAATCATTTTAAAACACCGCTTACTTAGTCTGATACCATCCATACTTGTTATATTATAAATGTGAAAGTGTGTTTGTTTGTTACGCTTTCACGCCTAAACCTTTACACCGATTTAAAAAATTCTTTCACAAATAAAAAAGTAACGTATGCTTTTTATCGTAATAACCGTTAACACGCAGGCGGAGGGCAAAAGCTGGTTAATAAATATTTTAAGAATAGGTACGTTTTTTGTAAGGATTATTTGAGTACATTATTTTGTCAGAATTAGGATAATTTATTATGCCTCGTCTCACGCTCATTGAGCGCAGCTGACTAGGTGTCTCTAAGGTGTATACACGTTTTGAAGTTTTCATACGCTCATCATCATCAACAGCCTTTAATATGCCACTGCTGGACATAGGCCTCTCCTTAGAAAGGAGGTTTTGACCTACTTTAGCGCGCTCTCCAGACGGGTTGATATAGGATTTCTGGAAAGTTTTTCTTCGTTTTGGAATGCTTTTTTTTGGCCTTTAGTCGGCTCTGACGACACGCACGGGATGAATAGGGGTAGTGACATTGCGTATTCTTAATCCGTCACTAAACGGACTATCCCTTAATACACGGACTCATACGCTCAAAGATGTTTAAAAACATTAATGTAGCAAGAAGTATTGTATTAGGAATCAGGTGACGAGTCAAGACAAAGACAATTAATTTATCAGTGTACAACTATTTATAACTGTACGGAGCAGCCATTAAGCTTAAGTAGAGTGACCAGAAAATGTAATAAAAAAATACAAAACAGAATAAAATACATTATGGTTGTAATTTGGTTTAAAAATACCTAAATTCAATATTCAGCATCAGTTGGATACTTACTCTATGTATAGTAAAGTAAGCTCCGATATCAGATAGTTGACGGGCCTCCGCCGCTTGGTTAGGGTCCGAGTGGAGATCATCCCAACGGGCCCCATCCGCCGCCTCCTTCTGCAAGATGACGTCTTCACAGAAGGATGCGACCGCGGTAAAACACTCTGTCACTACCAGCCATTCTGCGTGAGTCAGAAGGAAAGGGTCCCATGCTGCCGCCGTGCCCACTCGACGATAACCGACTGAAGCGCCTCCACGGCGGCAAAGCCCGCACGTGGAACCTCAAGCCAGGCCGACCAACGAGCCATCGTGGCTCGGAGAGCGGTCTCACGCCACTCGCGTACCTCTTCGGGCGGAGGCCGACTGCCACCTCCCGCCCCGAAATCAGCCGTCCGCCGATATTCTTCGGCGAGCACTTCCGCCTCCAAATCCCACGTATGGCTCTAACCGCCGATATCCACTGAGGGCGCCAGAGGCGCGCCCTATTCTGGGTAGTTAGAGCCGCCGCCCACACCGGTGCACCATACAATGCCATTAAACGCGTAAGCCCAGTGCCTCAATTCGCCCGACTACCAGAGAGACTCCACTCGAAAGTTCGCCCCCCAGGCTGTGACTAGAGTATCATCAGCGTAACAGATTACGCCCAGTCCGGGGGCAAAGTGACATCGTTAGGCCCAGTCGTACCCTATGTTCCACAGGAGCAGTCCTAGACTACACAAAACACCCTTTCGTTCCTCGTATAAGACGGTACGCTCCTCTAAATAGCCTGCCACTCGCCACTGTGGCACCCCGTTATAGTGCTTCCCGGATGCAGCTGAATGGCAGACTATGGAATGCGCTGGTGATGTCCCACGACCCCGCCAACAGCACGCCACCACGGCTCACCGCCTCTTCGGTCACGGTCCTGAGGCGCAACACAGCGTCGATCGTCGAACGCCCCGCTCGAAAATCGAATTGGGAGTCCGACAGAACCGTCTCAAACAATTTACCCGCCTCATCCAGAAACACAATGGGCCTGTAGGCCGCGACCGAATCGGCAAGCCGTCTCGGCTTCCTTAGCAGGACCAAGTTCCCGCTCTTACAGCACTCAGGGAAACGTCCGGACACCAAACTAGCGTCGAACACTTCCCTAAAGCGGTGGGGCATATGGTCGAGGGCTAAGGCCAGCACACAAGCAGGTATCCCATCTGGTCCGGGGGCGGTCTTCTTGGAACGGATCCGTAGAACAGCTGCCCCTACCTCCGAATCCCGCACGGGTGGAACATTATGCACGCTCCCGTGCTGCGCCCGTTGCGGGAAAAGCTCGACCACTTCCTGCAGGAAGCTGGGCTGGAGAGTCTCCATAAGGGGGGATAGAGGACACCGATAGCTGTAAACCATACTTTAGAGAACCTAACATTCTAACACTGCCATCAATTTATATTTTGGAAATATGTAAATTCGTTCGAAAAAATCAACATCTGTTTACAAAAAGAGAAGAAAAAAAACTACACACTACGCCATAGGACTAGACTAAAACTACCCTCATCCCGACTCCAAATTCATTCAAATAGAACTCAAGTAATGTCGATCAAAATTTACCCGAAGAAATTAGAAATGAAACCATATTAAATATATATTTAAATAAATTAAAACAATTATTACTACAAAAATGCTATTACAGCGTCAATATACGAGTATATCTGAGCAATCAATAAATTAATTATTATTGTTAGTTTTTATTATCTCTCCCTCTCTCATCTATTGCTGTGCCCGACAGGGTCCATGATGATCTGATCTTATATTTGAGTACCATCTAAGTAAACATTGTGGAATGCAATAAATATATTGAGTATTGAGTATTGGAAAAGTTCGCATATAACTCAGCCATAACTGAGAAGTAACCATTAAGTTACCTAACTGGTTGTTAGTAAAGTATTTATGTATACAGTTTCTAAGAACTGTGTGCATATAAGCGTCTTACGTCATTTGACAGGCTTCGCTTCAGAAACAGTTACATGACCTGACTGAGTGCACTCGCCCTTGCACTTGATCATTGTGTACACTCGTAGCGAACGTGTATATTATAAACGCTGTTTTATAATCAAATATTATGTTTCTGTGCGTAAAAGATCTTTATCTCTACACAATGGAATAGAATCATTATATCATTTTTGTACAATAATATCATTATAAAATCTTATTTTAAAATGTACGTCTGTATTCTTTAGAGATAATTAAGGATTATAGGATTATTTAGAGATAATTAGAGACATTTAAATAAAAGATGTTTTAAGGATATAACTGTATACGGTCACATTCCTAATACCGCCTTATACTCTTCTACTACTTAATTAATTATATAAAAACGACAATAATTCGCGATATAATATTTTTTTGTTTTTGTTCCTTTTTTATACATATTATTTTGAGTTAAAGTATAGAATTGGATTTTTACTGAGGAATTAAAACTCAATTTTTTCTAAAATGTCACATATTTATTTAACAAAATATTTACCCTCATTATCTATACAATGCTGCCATTTTTGCTTTTACGATAGAACTCTGGGGATCTAGGTTCGACTAACTGTATGAAAGCATTTTGTACTGCCTCCTGGGAAGAATTTTTTTTATCACTTAGAAAATTGGCCGAATCAGGAAAAAATAGTAGTCCGTTGGCGCAGGGTCTGGCGAATACGGAGGATGACGTATGATTTCTAACTGCATCTATTCGTCTTGCGTTATCATGGAGCAATAATGGTGAAGATCGATTCACGAGTCGGGGCTGTTTCACTGGCAGTTTCGCCATCATTGTTCGAAGTTCATAGGGTAACGTTAAACCATGCCGCTAATTTCCGGGTAGTTTGACGGGTAATTCTCGGATCGGCTAACACCATCTCCTTCAATTCAGCGTTATTCACCTATGTCGGCGGTCTTTCACGTAGTTCGTTCTTCAATTCGAAGTTTCCATTACGAAAGCGTTTTAACCAAAAACGTACGGTGTGTTCATTAGCAGTCTCCTCTCTAAACTCAGCGTTGATATTACGAGCCGTTTTGCTGCGTTAGTTCTGCGTCGGAACTCGTATTCAAAAATGTCTCGGATTTTCGAAGAATAAATCTTTCGCGTCCAAGCTAAATAAAAAAAACAATTGAAAGTCGAAAATCAAATGTCCCACTTTTTTTTAAAAGAATAATCTCATAGGTATCATGTGAAAGAGTTTCACACGAAAATCTCACACCATAAAGGTTTTATGTCAATTCAAAGTAGGTATATATTACTATATTATTATATTATATTATTAATTTATTAGCACTAGTAATCTATACTCAATAAAGATTTTAAGAACCGTTGGCCCTGACCACGTAATAATGATATAATATAAAAATAAAGGTCGGCAGGTGTGTGTTTACTACTAGTACTATAACTCGTTAAGGAACTAAAACCCGTAAATATGCTGCTTGCTTGGAAAAGTAAGTACCTATATACCTATTGATAATATAAGACTAGACCACATATTCAAGTGTGGAAATGGGATCACTAATGAGATGTAAGAAAGAGATATAATAAGAAATAAGAGAGAGAGATAAATGGACTAGGCATGATTCGCATGTCACGACATACGAATCATACCCAGTCCAATAGCTGCCTTTAAAAATAAATAAAAGAAAAATTTTGTTTAGACTTCTCAGGTATGTATGATTTGTATTCCTTTACCGTTATGAGCAATTTATAATTCATTTCAATGCCTTCAATATTTGGAGCGATGGTAGTGATAACTAATGGTAATTTCTGTTTTCGTTAGTTTGTTATTATCTGATATAAATGTTTTATAACAAAACAATTAATATATATACATATATGTGTAGATCCCAAATTACAAGTTATGCTGCTTATGTGTCTGAATTAAAATGGAATAGGTACATCTTACAAAAAGAATTACTAAGTTGCAATTCTCGCTGAGGAACTAAGTCCCGTAAATAGACAGATTATTCGCTCTCCAATACGGTAACTGAATGACTTTAGAAATTGCTTAAGATGGAAATAGATATTTAAATTACCTGAAATTCTCCGCAATTACCTTAGTGAACGTGTGTACTGTGCACATTATTTATACCTACCTATATTTGTGATTATTTGCAAAAGAACAATAAAATCTTTTATCCCATTATAATTTCAACGGATAATATATTAATAGTAGGTATAATATATATTGA